CCTCTCCCCCCTCCCCTCCCCTCCCTCCCCTCCTTTCCCCTCTCATCACAATTTCATTCCTTGTCACAAACAGTGCTATAGCTTTGCTTTTGCTTGTCTTGTGAATGAAATTAAAACACTGCTTCAGCTTTGTCGCTATGTGCAGTCCTGATCTTGTGTGCTCCTCTGCAGTCTTTCTCCCCTCAATCTTTTCACTCTATGCAGATACGTTTCTGATATCTTTCTTGTCTGTTCTCCACAAAGTATGTACATGCCTTAGACACAGAGAGGATCTATCTTTTAATGAGCCAATTAACTAGTTCTATTTAATCACCTTTCATCCCAGCTATGAAAAACGATCAAACATTTCAATATAAAAATACATATTTAATGTCTTACAATATAATTAAATATAATTTAAACTCAAAAATATTTTTAATGCTACTATTGCAATGTGATTACAGCAATTAATATTAAATAAAACATACTATCCTGGAGCAGAAAAGACTGTCTAGAAAAAGAAGAAGATAGAAAAGGATATTTAAATGCACAACTCCCTACATTGAACTCCTATTCAACTGCTACCTAACTTTCAAAGAGTCTAAGTTTTTTGCAAAATGAACCCAGTAATTATTCTAATCCCGAAGTATTTTGCCATTCCCTATCAGAATGAGATTCAAGCACGTGCACACTCATTTTTTTTTCTGTCCATGTCACATGTATGGCAACCTTCAAAAGAATTTAAAGAAATTTTCCAAAATTTAAGGTAAATAGTCTCAGTGGTAGAAGGCATTCAAGGCCAAGTCCTATGGCTCCCTGGACAACCTGATCTAGTGGGCAGTAACACTGCCCATGGCAGGGGTTTGGAAACAGATGATCTTTAAGTTCCCTTCCAACTCAACCTATGATTCTATGATGGTTATTCTGAAACAAGGAAATGAGTAAAGTTTTGGCAAAGTGTAAGTGTAGTAGAAGGAATCTGAGGACTCTCAAATCAGTAAGGAGTAAGGTGGCTTCATAAAGTTTAGTTGGAGCCTGAAGGATGCATGCTTTCTTTTGCAATATCTACTGGACAATTTAGGTTAACTTAGTATTTTTTCTAGGTTTCCTTGTAAACCGTAAGATATTGTAAAGAAAACATAAGAACTGAGTCTAGTCTATGGATAATATTGTAACAACCAACTCACAAAATTCATTGTAAGTCTTAATATCAGTCTTATTTCTAGAGCACTTTCGGTAAGCAAAGTATATTTGTTGTACTTATGCATGGCTGATATGCAGTAAAATAAATAACTGCTGGCGATTAAACAATGCATATCCTTCTGTAGCCTCAATGCTTATTTACAGGGAACATATTTTTACTTAGAAGTTTCTGAAATGTTAATGGTATACTAGTATTTCTTCTGTGTTTCATATCTATTGAATATGTTCTTATTTTGCTCATTCAATGTTTACAGCCATTAGTGCATGAATCTGTCAAGTGAAGTCCTTAATGATACATAAATATTTCCTCTGAAGGTTATCATCATCTGACATACAGTTCTACATTAAGTTGTGACATTTGAAAGATTTCTTTTTTCAGTTGCTTCCGTATTTTCATATTTCAGAATGTTCTTTAGATGGAATAAGTCATAACTGCAGTTGCTTAGAATGTCATGTATAACAGGTTCAATATTAAAGACTTCTTAAAGAGTTAATAGTAAATACCATGGAGTATATGTTCTTGTGATACTGCAATTGAAAGGGAAACTGTACTGCTTTATTTCAGTACTGTAAACATTTAGGCTGCCATATTCATAGAATGCACTGTTGCTGGACGTGATTTTATCATGAATCTAGGAAAAGAAAAGTGCAAAATATTAACATGATTCAGGATATAATATATGAGGGCAGATTTTTAGTGGAACAGGAACATAGGAAAGTACTTCTCATTCCTCATTTTATTTAAGCTGCAGTCCTGATTAAGCTTGAATGAGGCTGTTTTTCTTCTGTCCTCTATATTATTTTTAATATGACTGAGAATTTAATTAAGTTGGCACATGGCCAGAAACATAATTTGCTATTTTTATTACTCTGTCAATATTGTACATTAAGGACTTCAACAGTCTTCAATGAAAGTAAAACAACTCTTTAAACCAAGCGATGTAGAAATGCAAACAGGAAATGTCTAATGCATATTTCTTAATAGCATAGCCTAGATTAAAGCTTTTGAAGTAGTCTTACTAATTAATTTGAAACTGTGATGAAAATACAAAGTTCCTATAGATGTAAGTTTTCCAAGGCTTTCTAACAATAACTTCTCATTACAGAAGATCTTTATAGTTTTTGGCAAATGTTGTGTATGCTACTATGCATTATAACCCAGACAGAAGTCCTAGTTTCTACTCTGCCCCATGAAGAATGGCTTGAATCTAAACTTTCGGTTGTTGGACTCAAAGTATAAAACAAACTTCCGTGGATGTGGCAGAAAGAGGTTTAAATCTTACTTTTATGTTTTATTTTTTCTTTATAGTCCTGCTTTACTTTTTATGTGCATAAGATTGAATGTTGCTACTTGGGCCATAGAGACCACATTCTTTGAAAATTTGCTGGATCTTTTGATCTGTTATGGAATATGAAGATACTATTGAAAATGTTTATTATTATTATTATTATTATTACTATTATTATTTTATTGCAGCACTGAGAGTTAACTATGCTTCATAAAATTTCAACAGATCTTACAACTGATGATGCTTACTTTACTTTAAATATTGAAATGCATTGTCTCAGTAAGTCTGACAGAGGAAAGGGAGTAACTGTGCTGTAAATTGATCAAAATATGTAGTTTCACTTGAGAACAAATTACTCCTCAATTATTTCGAAGGAAATTGTTTAAGTAAACAGATGAATTCCCTTCCCCCTAAGAAACAGTTTGGATCACAAGTTGTCAAGTTTCTGTATGTAATCCTCCATGAAAAGAACTGGACTCAAGCCAATGGATTTGGGTGTCTATGTGTGTCCATGTGTGTGAATGTACTGGTAGGGGGAGAGGTATATGAGTGGGTGTGTGAGTGAACAATTCTCTCTTGATTACTCTGGTAACCTGAAAGGGCTTTTCTGTTTTGAAGCTAACTTCATAAAAAGGAAGAATTCAGAAACATTCTCACTGCAGGAACAAAGAGAGGAACAATACGTCAAAAAGTAAATCCAGCACGCCATGCAGAAGGCTGGGGACTGGAAAATGTATCATGTGAGGAGAGGCAGAAACAACTGTGTGGTCTAGGCAGAAGAGGAGAAGACAAAGACCGATTTTATTTGCAGTTTTACAGTTTTTAAATGGGATATATAGCCAAGACAGAATGAGAACACTCCTAAAAATGCACAGAGGAAAGGCAAGAGTCAATAGTCAGAGCTTCAAGAATGAGGAAAAGAAGCTTCTCCATAAGAATGGTTAGACACAGGAGCAGGTGGTACAGACAGGCTGTGCTATCCCAGTCCTTAGAGATAAGTCACAACTCAGATGGATAAAACCCTCAGCAGCCCAATTTAACTTAGAAGTTTGTCATCTTCCTGTGGTCCTTTGCAGAAAGCCAGAATAGATGACCTCAGAGCACCCCTTCACCTTTTTTTTTTTTTTTTTTTTTTTTTTTTTTTGGTATGTGTGTGTATGTGTGATTCTATTACCCATATGCATTCTGTACAAACAGTAATTCCTGTCACTGTCAGTGAACACTCATACCATGTAAATCTACTATTCTTTTATATTATGCTCCTGTGGTTAGCATTGATGTTGTCAGAGATGTGACAAGGAGGATTTATCTGCAAGGATTTAATTTTCATTGCTTTTCATTAAATTCAGTTTATTTTCTCATTCTCTGTACTTATGAAAATGTACCCTGGACTTATCTCATATGATAACTCAAAATGCCCTGTTCTAAACATATGTCACTGAACACTTCAGATCGAGATACAATATTTCTTGGAAAGGAGACATACAAGTTCACCGTTTAAACTGACTAACTTCTCTATACTGTGATCCTTGTACTTTATGTTGATGTTCCATTTACATAAGAGATAAACAAGTTCTGACTGTTTAGATCAATTAAGTCTCCAGTAAACCTCTTGTTTGGCTCACAAGCAGATCCTGATGCCTAAGTTCAGAAAACTTGCCACTTTTGTCTTTAAATTCAATCAGAGTCTTTATTGAAAATAATGTGCATAAAAAGTGTAGACATGCAGAACTAGCAAAGTCTCAAAGTCTCTGGAACACAAATGTGATTAAAGTTTTTGCTGAATTAAGTTACCATCCTAATCCTTACACCTTGACTAAGACTCGAGATCTGTAAATCTCAGTTCTAACAGTTTAAAATGTCATTTCCACAACTCACACAAGAAAACCAAAGCACAAAAGAAAGTGATTCTGCACTTCATGCAAAATTCTTAGATCTTGTTGATGCTAGTGATCAATGCAGTGGAACAGTTAATTAATGGCATAAATTACTAAGTGTATTCACAAAGTAATGTGTAAAAATAATTTTTGGTTAAAAAAGTACATACTATAAAATAATTATCATATTCAGCAATCTATTTGAACACCAGAATTTCAGATATTAGTCCCATAAATCTATGGTTATCTGAGATTATGCAAACTTAAATTCAGTAAATAAGAGTAACTAGTTAACCTGGGGCTTTACATTACAATTTTCTCAAATAAGAGAATTGCTATAGTTTGTTCATACTATAGAAAGACTACATATATTTTCTATATTAGTAATAATAATAAATAGAAAAAAAATGAAAAAGAGAAAGAAAGCAAGGAGGGAAAAAGAAACAAAGAAAAAAAAAAGGAAAGAAAAACTGGAATTGTTAAAAAAAAAAAAAGCGCTACAATAGTTTGATTGTTTTCCCTGTTTGCTTATTTACCTATTTATGGAGATAACTGTCTTCTTCTTTATACTCTGTGAGAATCTGTTACATTGATTTTGCTTGTGGCTTCCACCTCCCTGTTGTCATATTTTCAATCCCATTGTACTGATATTGTTATTAAAATACATCAGAGCTAGAAAAATATCTTAAAGTGACTTAAGTTGCTGGACAGAAACATGGATAACTTCAATTTTATATCATTGTGCTAAAGTGAATAAGAGAAATTTATGTTTGAATTCTTATGGTTGGAGCAGTCAATTGAAAATCAAAATCCTTCTTAAAATTCAAGAGAGAAGAGGAAAATTACTGAATAGATACTGTATGATGGAATATTCTCTTTTAAACCCACACTGTTATTACTCCTAAATGATAGCTGCAAGCAGCAGTGAGAGCAAGTCCGATTAGGTTGTTATAAAGACTGCAATGATGTGTAAAATAATCCCTTTTTTATGTAAGATTAGTAGTGTAAAGTAAAAATACCTTAAGCCAATGAACTGGAGATATTTTGTTCTGCAATATAATAATTTAGAAACCATAATTCAATTTAAATATTAGACTTTTATATCTATCAAGTAACTATTAAATATCTTATTTAAAAGACAGGAAGGCATTTTGAGTGATAGCCTTCATTATTAAAATCAGTGTCTCCTTGTGTTCATTCACATTTATGCTCCTTGCTAAATGAGATGACAGAATATTAACGAAGTGTATCGTAAACAATCTTGGTGAATAAGTCATAAGGGAGTATAGAAATGTATCACAATTAGAAAGTAAAAAACTGAATATACGTGTTGTCTATGATTACAAATAATGATTCCTTACATTGTATTAAAGCATTTTAAAAGTTGATCTACACAAATTAACAAGTATAACAAGTAAGTAAGTACAAAACAGATGAACATCATTGCTGTGGGAGGATTTAGAATATTTCTCTAACTTTATGAGGGCAGGAATAAAGACTTTCTAATTAAGAATGGAGAGATATTATTCACATAGTTTTTTCATTTTGTCTTTTCATATTGTTTCTGTTATTTTTTCTCTGGTGACACAGGTATGACCTGAGGGAACAGCATGGAACTGCATCAGAGGAGGGTCAGGTTGGGTATTAGGAAAAGTTTCTTCCCCAAGACTGTGGCTGGACACTGGAACAGGCTCCCTGGGATATTGGTCATGGCACTAACTTTGCCTGAGTCCAAGAAGCATTTGGAAAATACTCTCAGACATATATTTTCATTTTTATATAGTTCTGTATGGAGCCAGCAGTTGGACTCAATGATTCCTTCAACTTAGTATATTCAGCAGCCCATAGAAGGAAGAAGAGGAAAGTGGCAGGGTGAGTCGAGAAAGGGAGAATGACAGTATGTGATTCAGAGAGCCGAACACAAATGGTGGAAGAATGAGGAGAAGCCAGTATTTTGACCAAGATCACGTGAGAGAAAAGACTAAGTGAAAAGATAACAGAAAAACATCTCCAAGAAGAAAGAAGCCCCCGTGCTCCCAAATAAAAAAAGAGATAATGGAATAAATGGGCTTCCAAAGATAATTAAGCAGTTTGGCAAAAAAGGAAGTCATTATCAGCTATTGAAATGTGGTTATGGAAATAGCACATTCTGCGAGCAAGATGTATAACTTTCTTTTTGACTGTCAGTATTCTAGCCACACTCTTAGACTCCTTTCTTCAGGTTATTATTTCAGTATTCATACAATCATAAAATCATTGAATGACTTAGGTTGGAAGAGACATTAAAGATGATACAGTTCTAATCCCCCTGCTGTAGACAGGGTTGCCAGCCACTAAATCAGACACTAGGTTAGGCTGCCCAGTCCCTCATTCAACCTGGCCTTGAACAACTTCAGGCACAACTTGTCTTGGCAGCCTGTTCCAGCACCTCACCGCACTCTGAATGAAAATTTTTCTCCTACTATCTAATCTAAATCTCCCCTCTTTTAGTTTCAAACCATTCTCCATTATCCTATCACTACGAGAGTGTGTAAAAAGTATGTCTCCCTCCTATTTACAAGCTCCTTTTAAGTACTAAAAGGCTGTAAAGAGATCTATTTGGACTGATAACTTCTCCAGGGAAAATAAGCCCATCCCCCTCAGCCTATCTTTGCAAGAGATGTGCTTCAGCCCTCTGATCATCTACATGCTCTCCTCTGGACCTGCTCCAATAGCTCTGCATCCTTCTTGTGCTGGGGCCCCAGACCTGGATGCAGTACTCCAAATGAGGCCTCATAAGGGCAGACCAGGAGACAATCACCTCTCCTGCTCTGCTGGCCACGCTTCTTTTCACGTAGGCCAAGACACTGCTGGCCTTCTGGGATGCAATTCCTAACCAGTCACTCTGGTCCCATTGGAAAGGAATCTAAGAACAAGTCTTACCTAAATTGGAAGAAAGAGGAGATGATTATTTTTAATCAATGGACTATCAAAAACTTTAAGAAAATTAGGTCTAGGTTTTAGGATATTCAAGCTTGGAAGCATGAGAAAGAATTTTCACCTTTGGAAAGTTGTTAATGTTATTACTGGAGTAATCTAGATGTTTTCAAAAGCAGTGATTTCTCTCCTCTAATTCTATAAATTATAGTGATGATGTTGATAATGTTGTGCACCTTTGGTATTAAATGCAATGAGTATTTCACAGGAAATTAAATGTGACTAACAATTGAAATATCCAGCAAAAGAGTCAGTGTGTACTGTTGACATCTTTTAGCATTCTTAGACTTCTTTATGTGTACTGTGCAAAGTAAAGACTAAAACAAATTGTGTAGATTTGAATTAACTGTTCATTTAACAGAGGAAAATACATAGTGGAAACAAACAAAGTAATCATAAGCATAACTTACAATAGCATAATTTGTGGGGAGGAGGGAAATGAAACAATAATTATTGGCAGTGCTCAAGGTGTTTCTGAGGCACTGTTAAAGATAATAATTTAATTCTCTAAAAAATCACTAGCTCTGTCAAGACCTATGGGCCATTCTGATGAACATATGGAGTGATGTTCAGCATCGGCATTCTAATCTCATTGGTTTTTAGGCACAAATACCATATGGAAGGACCATATTGTGCTTAATCTCCTGAGTGTGATAGTAGGTAAAACCTTCACCCTATTACACAGTCTAATGTAACCAGACAGAGGAGAATCAAAACATATGCCAAGATTCTGAAAGTGTTTCAGTAATCTTTTTCTCTGAAATTTCTGTTGGTCATGGAGAATATTGTCTTTTAATTAAAAAGAAGAACTATTTTCACAACAATTGTAGCTGTTTCTGAACTTTATTATCAACCCTTCATTTGTTGTATCTGCTTGTTGTTTGTCTAATCAAATAATGTTCACTTTACACTACAGGAAACTACATAAAGTTACAATATGCATGGTCTAATTCACTCACAGTGACATACAGATGGAATTTTTCAATAAATTGTCAGGTGCTATGAGTAAGTTCTGATTAAAATGAGATAATTGCAATGTTTGTTCTACAGATGGCTGTAACCTATATATATACACAAAGGTAGCTACCAAAAAATGTTTGAAATAAAGAAACTGAAGCATTGAGAAGAAGGTCTGTAGCAGCATGAGCACAGACATAAAAGACCAGACAAACCTAAATTCTGACTCTATGCACTCATTATGAGCAGACAACCCTGCTACTTGTTTAAAGCATCATTTTATTTATCAATAATCCCATTAAAAATATGCCATAAGTAAGTTTATGTAATAAACATCAAGTATATTTATGTAAGTAACTTGCATTCAGGACTACCCTGAATAACCCAGCATAATTTCATGTTGCTGTGTGTGAATTTTGGATGGCATCTATTGCAAAGTTAAAATCCTGGGGGGGAAATAAAGGAAGAATGTATATATCTTTCATGTCCAGTTTAGAAAATTGTAAATGTCTTGATCTGTTTCATTCAGTTATGAAAGTTGTATTGTTGACATTCACAGAAGCACCGTTTAATGTGAACTAAGAATACTCTTGTTGAAAACACGCTGGTTCTTACTTCCAGCATACACCGAAGTTTGGGCCATATAAACCAGGAGAGTAAAATTTGCTTTGATTCCATACTGCCTTTGCGTGAAGAAAATTCTTTCAGGAGCCACTGCAGTCCGTGTTTTTCCATTGGACATCTAGGATAGTTCAAGAAAGAAACAGTAAGAGCCAGAAGCTTCAGTGCTTTAAAACTTTTGATGGTGGTTTGATAAATGTTATAAAAAAGCTCTAAACCTATAAGGAAGCATTAGGAACAGTTGAAAGGAAAAGAATGCACAAAATGGCAGAATATAAATAGAAGGTCTTGACAGTACTGGATTTAACAGTTGGTACACGTATAGTTTTGAGCTGACATAATTTTTTACTTTTTTCTTTTGTTGTTGTTTTTGCTACCCAGTCATCATGGAATCAGTTGGATTTATTTTGTTTCTCCCTGAATAGGCTGTTTTAGTATGAATGCTTCTGATAATGTCTCCCCTGCTCTGTTTGCCTTGGTTATCTCAGAACTTGTGTTTTGAAGGGATTCATTTACATTGGGATATTCTATGTCTTATGCTGTATATGCTATCCAAAGATTGATGGAATGATGAATAGAGTCAAAATTATCAGACTGTGTATTTTTATTAATTTTTTTTTCTTTCCATCTGTAACTTCCCAGTTTGCCAAATTGAATAAATGCCAAAAGCGAAGGATTTGTCTCTTGTTTAACTTCTCTTCCTGTCCTGTTTGCAGGATTTTACTATTCTGTTTCTATTTCTGGGCTGCCAGCCAGCTAGTGCATTGCTTTGCTCTGGCTTGACAACAGTTACTAATTATGTGAAATATTCAACATTCAAGAACCACAAATGGGAAGGAAAAAGTTTCAGTACCAAAGAATGCAAAAACGGTATAGGGCAAGCAATCTGGTCAATCATAGAGGAAAACAGTTCAGACAAACTCATCATGTACAGTTGAGGACTATGGAACATATGTCAGTTATCACTATTTTATTTTAGTGATACCAGATGTTTGTAAGATTTTGTTATTGTTGTTGTTTGGGTTTTGTTGTTTTGTTTTGCTGGTGAAGAGCTAAAAAAGAAAACAAGCAAACAAAAATTTACCTTTCTTCCTTTATCAAAGTGCCTTCTGTTGGTGCTTAAGCCCTCTTGAGAAGTCTGTTTCCGTTTTACTCATTTATTTTTCCTGATTTGTCTCTACTGTCTGCAGAAGATTTTTCACTATGTACATTTCTTAAATATTTCTCAGGAATTTGGGCAAATACATTTCTAATGTAAATGGGAGGATCTTTGTGGTGGAAACTTTTGTTTTCACTAAAACCAACCCTTGAAATACCTCAAGACTGTAGAAATATGTTTTAATTTGTGTGAAAGTGTATGTTTATTTGTATGCATGGCTACCAATGAAACAGCAGCAAGTTCAATAAAATACTGAACAGGAAAATGAAGAAGAAATTCTGAAGTCTACTAGTATTTTCTGAAACCAGGAAAATATACCACATTATTTCTCCTATGTGTATTCCAAAAAATAAGTTCACACCTTGAAAATTAAATTTGAAGATATCAGCTACCGTAAGTGCCAGTGAAGTCCTAAAAATGTTTACCACTTTTACAGATTGTTGTTCTTTTCCAGTTAATATTCATATATGTTCATGACTTTCGGCTTGCAGCAATATTACCTTGTCCTTTGATTTTGTCACTGTCAGTGGTTTAGGGGCTGGTTTGGCCCGGTTCTGTGACCAGTGGGGCAGAGGGATCCGTGGATCTGCGCCTCCGGAAAAGGGAAACAGGGGAACCCAAAACAATTGAAAACAGCAGCAACAATCTGAGGTGGAACAAACTAATTTACTAAATATAGTATCAGCAAAATATAATGAGAGAGAGCAAGTGTGTCTGAAAGGTGGATAGGCCTCACCACAATGCTGAGGTGAGAAGTGCAGTCCAGTTGAGCCAACAATGAAAAGCAGACGGAGAAGCGCAGGCAAAGAAGAGAACATCAGGTGACCTTGCCAGGAGTTACATCTCTTCACTGACCACAAAGCCCCCTGGGGAAAAATGTAGTTGTTCTCCACCGGACAGGTACCCGGAACTTGAGCA